CCTACTTTTAAAACATTAACTATTTAGATATAAACTATATTTCACGGAATTCAAAGGACAAAAGACTCCATAGTCCTATATTCCCATAGTAGGAGCATTAATATCATATCGCTCATTGAACTATGTCCTACAGATGGGAACAATCAATACTTCTGCTCTAGGGGATGTTAACGTTCTGGAAAATAGGGGAAATAATTATATAACTGAAAAGAGACCTAAATCAGTGCCTGTTGGATCAATGTTGGTGGTTATTTTACGGGGGCGACATGCTTTCATAAGGGTATATTTGTACTGTCTCCGTCGAGACTTCCGGTGGAGAACCTTAGGGACCGTTCATAATTTATGGCGGGGTGGGGGTCGGGGTGGGGTGTTGCTGATGATTTTAAGGGGGTCCCCATTTTGTTCAGGGAGGTAGGGGGTCATCAATTTTGTCCATAAAAATGTTTTAATATTATGCTTAAAAAATATTGGAAGGGGAAGGGGGTAATTGATTTTGTACATGACATGCAGGGGGGTCACTTACTTTGTACATAAATTATAGGGGGGTCATTCACATTGTACATGCTTCTCCATAAAAATCATCATTCCCCAGCCCTACAAATCACCACAAATGTTTCATAATGGCAGTACAAAGTAGAGAGGCAGTACACATTCATAAGAAACATGAAGTTAGAAACGGATTCGCATTGGGCATATGGGATCCGATTCCTGAATCTGAATTTTTTGTTCACATTCCGGATTCAAATCCCGAATCTGATTTCTTTTCATATTCGGGATTCGAATCACCAATGCCCAATGCGAATCCGTTTCTAAACATAAAATTGAGGTTCGGGATTCGAATCCCAAATGTGAACAAAAATTCAAATTCCGGATTCGAATCCCAAATGTGAACAAAATATTCAAATTCGGGATCCCAAATCCCAAATCCGTTTCTAACTTCATGTTCCTACACTCATAGCAGTGTAATACCAACAGTGGGAACAGCAATAAAGACACTGGTGACAATATTCACCTACAGACCAGCATCAATAAACGTGACACAAGACACAGATGAGTCGCTATCTGATTGGCAGCCAGTGAAAGTCATGCAGGAAGCGTAATGTCGCCACACTGCCTACAACTAGAGGGTAGCCGACCGCTGTATTTAGATCCGTGAAAACAGTAGATTGTGATGGACAGGGTGGTACTTGGCTGCACAGCAGCTATCCTGGTGCGGGCTTTACTGCTACAAGTAAGATACCGCTGAATATATTTCAATAGATGTATTCCTTTACTGGTTTTACCCTTGGACAAAGCTTCGCGGCATTGCTGTGTCTGTGAAAGGATGCAAGACGTACGTATTGTGAACGTATGTGGATGACAGGCGGATGTGTCGATATCCGGGGGCGGACTACAGCATCCCCATCCTCCCCCGAAAACATTTTTCCTGAGGAGCATTTTGCCCCTATCCTTTCGGACTTCGCCCCTGATATCGTAACCTTCCCATGCTTCATTTGTACAGTAAAATCTCAAGCTTCTTTGCAATGAGTAAAACCTTCAGAACACTTAAACACTGTGCCAAATTGAGTGAGTGAGTTTCGTTTTACGCCGCACTCTTACGAAAAGCATAGTCGCCTTTTATGGGAAGCATGGGTTGCTGAAGACCTATTCTACCCCGGATCTTCACGAGTATTAGGTCGTTTGAGGACACATGTGAAACATGATTCACATTTATAAAGCATCTCATGTGTCATAAGGTCATTCACCTATGAAATTACTTTTTCAAATAGTTTCATTTGGGCAGTATTGGCATTGTGATATGAAAGTTTCAAACCGGTAACACAACCCGTTCACACATGTAATTCGATGACATCGGAGAAGGTCGAAGTGAGAAAATAGAGCTTCCGCACCCAATATCTCACATATAAATACTAATAGTTGGAATTAGATGAAGCGTGACAGATATTATGTTTAGCTTGATGATTTCTTAGATTGAAGGTGCAGGTCAGCTGATTCGTAAGTGCTTTTCAATGAAGAAAGGTATAAATCTTTCGGTTGAAAATTGTACAGTACTGGGAATGTCAAGAAAGTGGTTTTATCAAATCGGAAGTGCCTATAACTTTATGTTTTAACAATAATTCGCACTGAGTATATGTGAGGTCAACTGTGATGTCATGAAAAGCTAGAATGGCCCATGATACGTGTTGTAGAAGAGGAACCTGTGATCGGGAATGGAAGTGCTTCTGGCTTTGGGTGTAATGTCGCACCTGTCAAACTGAACATGTTTGTCGTAAAATGCGAGTAACGAGTTCGGGCGGTCAGTATTGCTGATTTGGTTGACACATGTCATCGCATCCTAATTGTGTAGATCGATGCTCACGCTGTTGATCACTGGAATGTTGCTGAGAGTGGCGTTAAACAACAAACCAAGCAACCAATGTCAAGCTGAACTTGATGTCTTGGCACATTCATGGAATGAGAGGTCTGACTAGAAAATTCGAGGGTACCCTTTGTTTCAAGCGAAAACTCCAAATCTCTTTTAAACCCTTCACTCCACCGACATGCCTGTGGTTTGGGATATGTGTAGAGAAAGGTTTACTCCCGTCAGCGAAAGCCAGTTAAAATGTTTATGTGACATATACAATCAAAAAGCCTGTTCTACATGTTAGATACTGCCAGTAAGCTTCTTACAGCGATACCTGATCACTTCTGGCTCAGTCCACCCGTGAAGGTCCGGGTTAGAATGAACCTTCAGTAATGCATGCTTGTCGTAAGAGGCGACTAACGGGATCGGGTAGTCAGGCTCGTTGGCTTGGTTGACACATGTTATCGGTTCCCAATTGATCACTGGAATGTCTGGCCCAGACTCATTATTTACAGACCGCCGCCATATAGCTGGAATATTGCTGAGTGCAGCGTAAAACTAAACTCACTCACTCAAACGACCTAGACCTTATTCAAATCACCTAAATTTGATCGACACAGTACCGTCCACGTCATGTATTCTTTTTTACTTAACATTTCAATCATTAGTATTCACGTGATGTTGTGTACAAGCCTTTTCACATCCAAGTCATACTGAGTGAGCTTAATGGTCAGTGCCATTTATTCCTACACCCCCTGAAGATCCGGGTTAGAATTGGTCTTCAGCAACCCATGCTTGTCGTAAGAGGAGACTGACTTGGTTGACACGTGTCATCGTATCCCAGTGCGTAGATCGATGATCATGCTGTTGCTCCCTGGATTGTCTGGTCCAGACTCGGTTAGTTACAGATCGCTGCCATATAGCTGGAATATTGCTGCGTGCGGCGTTAAACATTAAACCAACCGAAACATTACCCTGCGATATACAGGAGATAAAGTAGATATGAAGTCTGGTTGTATATCCTACAGAAGCTGCCTCCAGTAAGATCAGGATAGAACCAGGTCATGGCAACACCAGGGGGCGTCTTCAAGTGTTTCATGATGGAATTTGGGGAACGGTCTGTGATGACAACTTTGGTAACCTAGATGCCAGAGTGGCCTGCAGAGCTCTTGGAATGAACAGGTGCTTGTGTACAATTTTACATACAGTTTACTTGTGATTTTAATACATCCCATTTGGGGAATGACTATCTGGGGTCATACCTGTGTCAATGAATCATGCCGAATGGCTTATTGATGTTTGAGGAAATATAATGTTTACCACAACCCCGTCGTCTTGATAATCGTCGTTAAATAATGATACCACTCCTACAGCACTGCGTATGGTCCTAGATTCCTGGACACCACTCCGTGATATAACTGGAATATTGTTCAAAGCGGCATAAAACCCAACTCACTTGCTTCTTTAACGGTATGTTCCTCAATGTATAGTGTTAGTGTAGAATATATCAGCCCTTTACGTCCGCATCGCAGACAGCACGCGTTCATGTGTTCTTGTTGGCGGTTGTAATTCTCTTCTGTTGTATTCAAAAAGACCAAAAGGTATAACACGTCACAATTTAATTCTGGACACCAAAAGGTCCAGAAACTCTCCGCACTGTGGCTACTTTCTGACAAAGGATTTGATCAAATTGAACATGCAGTTGTCATGAACATATGATAAGGATGGAAAAATGACGAAAAATAATTCAAAAACTCAAAATCCATACTCGCTCGACCATAATTTTAGGCTGAAATATAGCGTGTGTCAATGTCATTATACATTATTGAAACCCTGAATCACAATCCTTCCATGTCAACTACCGACTCGTTGACATGGGTACGGGGAGAAACTCAGTGGTTTGGTAGCCACATCGGTACGATGTGTGAAGTCCATTTCTGGTGCTCCCCGCCGTGATGTCATGTTAAATATAGACCAATATTCAGATTGACTATTTAACAGTAAATACGCCGTTCCATGGAACTTTGGACCAGGTTCTGGGTCTATACTGCTGGATGACCTCGCATGTCATGGCACCGAGGAGAGCTTAGACGACTGTCATCACAATGGCTCGGGAATCCATGAATGTGAACATAGTGAAGACATTGGCGTCTCTTGTACTGACGGTGAGACTTTGGAGGAAGAGTTGAAGACATGCTTTTAGACTTCACATATGGAATCCTGCATATGCTCCTTAGTAATTATTTTGTATTCCACTATAGTTCAGTACTCGACCCGTGAAATCCGGGTTAGAATTGGTCTTAAGTAACCCACGCATGTCGTAAGAGGCGACTAACGGGATCGGGTGCCAGGCTCGCTGACCTGGTTGACACGTCATCACATCCCAATTGTGCAGATTTATGCTCATGCTGTTGATCACTGGATTGTCTGGTCCAGACTCGATTAGTTACAGACTGTCGCTTGAACATCTGGTGCCTTCTGGTGCATGCTCTATGGCGGTTGATGGAAAGTCAATTGTCATGATATTTTTAATTTGTGTTAATGAAAACGTGTCTAGTAGTTCCACAGCCACACAATTTACGCAAACGGTTGGATCGTTCTTGACTCACTGACTGAACAGGCATGTAATATATGTTGTATTGTTTTAGATGAAGTGATGGTAACCCCCACAAATGTCCCTGTCCTGGTGTCAGATGGGGACCAAGTTAATTTCACTTGTGTTGCACTTGGCAATGCGGGCATGCCATTCCAATATCACTGGTCTATCGGGACACGGACTGTCTCCACACAATCCAGCACTTTACTGACTGTGGGGAGACACGTGTTCATCAACGACTCTCTAACCTGCACTCTGATTAGCTCTAATGATTCCACTCTTGGGAGTTCAACAGCGAATATTCGTGTTCAGTGTAAGTACATTTCAGAACGCTGAAATAACACCCGGTGTCATACTTGTTATTTATAAAAAATATTTTACTATATCTTACAAATGTCAAGTAATGGCTGTACAGTTACTGTGTAAAACGCAGAGATTTAAGACACCTCTTTACAGTCTTGTGTCTTGCCTGTGCTAGCGTGTTGTGCTCAATAGAACTTGTGGTGATGACGTTTCAGTATGTCAGTCTGATGACAGATTCTGCACAAACAGTTGTGAACGTAATTTGCAGTTATAGCAAAAAGATATTATCCATTTCATAGATTCCATCCACCCTCCGTCAGTTCCATCCACCCTCCACCATCCCCATCTCCATCCATCCGTCATCCCCATCTCCATCCCATTCCATCCACCCTCCGCCATCCCGATCTCCATCCACCCTCCGTCATCCCCATCTCCATCCACCCTCCGCCATCCCCATTCCATATCCGCCATCCCCATTTCCATCCACCCTCCGCCATCCCCATCTCCATCCACCCTCCGTCATCCCCATCTCCATCCACCCTCCACCATCCCCATCTCCATCCACCCTCCGCCATCCCCATCTCCATCCACCCTCCGCCATCCCCATCTCCATCCACTCCGCCCATCTTATCCCCATCTCCAACCACCCTCCGCCATCCCCATCTCCAATCCCACCCTCCGCCATCCCATCTCCATCCACCCTCCGCCATCCCCATCTCCATCCCCTCGGCCCATCCCCACCCTCCGTCATCCCCATCTCCATCCACCCTCCGCCATCCCCATCTCCATCCACCCTCCGCCATCCCATCTCCATCCACCTCCGCCCTCCCACCCTCCATCCCCATCTCCATCCCATCTCCATCCGCCATCCCATCCACCCTCCGCTCCACTCTCCGCCATCCCCATCTCCAACCACCTCCGTCGTCCCACCCTCCGGCGACTCCAACAGGATCGGGTCCATCCACGTGGCTGTTGATCACTGCATTGTCTGGTCCAGACTTGATAATTTGATAAGGCCGCATTGTCGCCATCCCCATCCCCATCCCCATCCATTTCCATTATATCCCTGGAAGTTTACAATAATGTGATATTTTAAGCTCGCATTCAGTGACATCAAGACGAAGTAATATCTATCTTCGTAACAAGTATTAATTCAAAGACAAGGGCTGTTCCCTCAGAAAATACTCGGGATGCGGGCAATTCTGTAGAAAATCCACGGGAATTCATGGAGAATACCCGCACAACTGCCTGTAATGGTTTACTCTGTTAAAGGAGAACCTGCCGAGACAATAGAGTTAGCACGTTAGTTGGGTGCTATGTCAGTTTAAGCACTTATTTTAGTTATGTGTCTTTAATTTGAACGGAAAATCGTGGGTAACTCGGGGTCCGACCATTTAATATTCCGGAGCGGCGGCAGGGTGGGTCTCGCTAGATATATCAACTATCCACAAATGTCCTGGTTTCACACTAGCGCTGCAAAGATACTGCTACTGATCGTGTGAATCTTCCTTCGAAACTCGTGTTCGTGTTGTTGCTCATTTCCTAATGTCAGGGGCACTCTTCATATGGACCGTTAATCGTTACCAAAGCTTCAAACATTTGTCTTTCCACGTAATAACATCTCATTCATCGACAGAAAAAAGTTGAGCACTGAGTCTGTGTATTGTGTGTATGTCACAATAACATTTTGCCTTTCACAATTAGAAGTACAAGACACAATGGTTACATGAAGGTGTATACGATTCTCGTCATATAACACCGCCGTTTCAGTAATGAAAAAAAGAAAAGTCTCTGCAAGGGTCGCAAATCAATTATGATTCGCTTCTTGTAAATTGTGTATTTTGTCTAATGAACCACAAACTCTTACGAGTCATTTTATTTCCGTTACAAAGATCGAGAAAAGCCGGTTGAACTTTCGTTGGCCGATACCTCTTCATCATCCTGTTCACCCATCCGCCAAACCTACATTGTAGGAGGTAGTCTTGGATTAATTGTTCTGGCTCTGATGGGCCTCGTTCTACTTATGCTAGTCAGACAGCATAATCTATCAGCAGGTGAGTTAACATACAGCAATATTCCCACAAACTAACCGTGGACTAATTCTCCACGTAGGGTGTTCAAAGTGTAGTCAAGCGATAAAGCATTTGCTTGTCATGCTGAAGGCCCGGAGTCTATCACCCACTTCGGTACAATACGGGTCCTCCCATTGCTGCAATATTGCTGAGATGAACATAAAACCTCTCACAGTCGCACGCTTCTGGATGTCCACACGTCCATAGGGCCTCTTCACATTCCAGCATTCCCTCGCATGTGTCTTAGAAAACAATGGTCAATCCCATTCACTTTTCTGACCCGTAAGGATCCGGGTTAGAACTGGTCTTCAGCTACCGATGCTTGTCGTAAGAGGCGACTAACGGTGGTCTGGATGGTTGACACGTGTCATCAGTTCCCAATTGTATAGATCAATGTTCATGCTGTTGATCACTGGATTGTTTGGTCCACATTCAATATATTGTTGGGTGCGGCGTTAAGCAACCAGTCAACCAACTCTTATGATCTTATGTTTGTTGCTAAGATGCCCAAATTGCTAATTTTACAACACTGCTTAATTATAAATGACAGTGTTCATCGGAATGCCATATTTGTCTTCAGTAATTTTTCACTGGATCAAAATGACATAAATAATCAGGCTTCACTTGATCCACTTCAGAAAAGAAGTCCACTGAAGGAGATATGGTCGAAGATTGCACCAACCAGTACTACCTTCACTGTGTACCCAGAGATCAGAAGAACCTTTCTCTGTCCACGTGCGACAACTCTTGTAGCCGAATATCCAGCCGTGAATGTGAGTAGGGGCGACAAACATTGTCAGCCACATGCCACTGTAGATGAACACGGAGATGAGCCACATTATATTGAGGTAGAGACACTGATGGAAGCTCATGACTATGAGATTGTGTAGTAGAGCAAGTATGAGGGAGCACGAATTAGCTCTGAAACGTCGTATAAAGAATAAAAAGACGCTGTAATCCATATAACGGGTCATGTATTCAAGGGTGAGGCCCTGCATTGCTGCTGAATGCGTGCAAAAGAACTCGACGTTTCTGGGACGAATATTATGTATGTAAACCTAGTATTGCTAAGTATTGTACAGACAGGTTTGGGATAGCATTTCCCTTTTTGTGTTTGCTTTATGCTCCCAATAAGGTATGGTTTGTTGTAACTATATACTCAGCTTGCCTTGGATGCTTGCTTTGCAGGCCTATGTCCGATCAGTTAGCCATAACAAGCTGCATCTTATTAAAAAAAATGTAATATACAGTCGACCATCATTATCTCGAACCAAGCGGAACGGTATTGTAACTTCGTGATATCAGGACATTCAAGATATCAAAGTATTGACATCTGTAAAGAACACATGACGGTATAATTCCCTAACTTTACAATATGTCACGTGCTCATTTAGTAATCTCAAAACTGATCATGTGCAAATGTCAAGACCAAAAACAAGGTAAGCAATCCTGAAGTGAAAAGTCCAAATTTTCATATGGCTGGTTTTTCTATCTATAGCTGTAGACGAACACATTTATGGGTATTTATATAGCAAAGCAGTCGGGATGGCACAATCGCTTCGAGAATTACCGTGTAGTGAACATTGTCTCTGGCACCCTGGGTAGATGTGTCTTCACCACACCATGCTGCCAGACTCTATTTACTTAGGCAACCCGTTTCCACTGACTTTTTACATTTAACATTCCTGTGTCAGTGGACGAGAGCAGACGGTTGGTTGAGGGCCTTGGACAAGGAACAGTGATCCCTTAGCCCATCTCACATCCTCAGTGGGATGCAAAAAGGACCCGGTTCTATCACTCGGCTGGCCAATCCAATTCTTGTGAATGAAATTATGTGTACATATTTGATTTTAGAAATTACTTTTCTTGACCTTGACCAACACGCCCATAAATAATGGATCATAAAGACACATTCTTAGAATGCCAAGAATCTCATGTCAAGAAGTACTGGAACTTAGGCCAAACTGATAATGCAGACATCTGCAATTTGTGACGGTGCTAATAAATGGTTTCAGTGCCTACGCTTGAGTACCACCAAAAATGTAACTTAAAAGTTAACATTTAATACATGATAAGTAATGACAATACAATGGGTCGGTTTCTCTATTGGCATTGACACAGGCGATCCAGTCTGGTATAGTCTGTTTGCAGAGAAAACGTACAGATGAATTTCCCCTTTAAACAAAAAAGTAAATCAAATTAAGTGAAATTAAGATCGCGAATCCTCATAATTTTACCTTGCCAAATGAACATTTAAATCTCAGAATTTTATTGAACTTAGAATAAAAGTTGTTGAACAAACGATCATAGATTCAATTCGCTATTATTGGTTTGTATTACAAGGGGGTAAGCACAGTAGATGGAACAGAGAAACAAATGCACGTGCGGTACGTGATGAGCGTTCACTTAGATCAACCCTACCAACCTAATTATCACAAGTTGAAATCCATATTAACTACTAATAACGAAACACTTCTAAAAAACTTATATACATATTAACACTATGCATATGAACTAAGAGATCAAATTACTTGCCAATTCATTAAGATATATATTTTTGTATGATTTCTCCATGTACTGCATCATTATAACTATGTTTTGTAAACTCAACCTTTGTTATTGTATACATGTCTAAATGAATGTAATTTTTTTGTGGATGTTGTATACTGGCCTGTGGCCTATAGACAATAAAAGACTTGACTTGACAAGCAATAAATAGTTCAACGTTTCTTAAAGTTTACATACTTAACATTATGTTGTATCACACTGGGAGCTGTATTCACACACCAAACATCATGTTGGATCACACGGAGAGGGGTACAGACACATCACACACACATACACACCCACACCAAACATCACATTAACTCACAAAGATTTCTTACCTCATACGCTCGAGTTCGATCAGCTGAAGAGTGGTACTCACATACCAAACATTGTGTTGGACCATACATAGAATGGCATTCGCACACCAAATATTGTGTTGGATAATGCAGAGAATGGCACTCACACACTAAACATTGTGTTGGATAAAACAGAGAATGGCACTCACACACCAAATATTGTGTTGGATAATACAGAGAATGGCACTCACACACCAAACATTGTGTTGGACAATACATTGAATGTTGGACCATACATAGAATGGCATTCACACATCAAACATTGTGTTGGATCATACATAGAATTTCACTCACACTCCAAACATTGTGTTGGATAATACAGAGAATGGCACTCACACACCAAATATTGTGTTGGATAATACAGAGAATGGCACTCACACACCAAATATTGTGTTGGAGAATACAGAGAATGGCACTCACACACCAAGCATGGTGTTGAATAATACAGAGAATGGCACTCACACACCAAACATTGTGTTGGATAATACAGAAAAAGGCACTCACACACGAACTATTGAGTTGGATAATAAGAACATGGCACTCACACACCAAATATTGTGTTGGGTCATACATAGAAAGACACTCACACACCAAACATGGTGTTGTATAATACAGAGAATGTCACTCACACACCAAACATGGTGTTGGATAATACAGAGAATGGCACTCACACACCAAACATTGTGTTGGATAATACAGAGAATGGCACTCACACACCAAACATTGTGTTGGATAATACAGAGAATGGAATTCACACACAAAACATTGTGTTGGACCATACATTGAATGGCACTCACACACCAAACATTGTGTTGGACCATACATAGAATGGCACTCACACACCAAACATTGAGTTCGATCATACAGAGAATGGCACTCACACACCAAACATTGTGTTGGATAATACATAGAATGGCACTCACACAGGAAACATTGTGTTTGGATCATACATAGAATGGCACTCACACAGAAAACATTGTGTTTGGATAATGCAGAGAATGGCACTCACACACCAAACATTGTGTTGGATAATACAGAGAATGGCCCTCAAGCACCAAAGATGGTGTTGGATCATACATAGAATGGCGCTCAGACAGAAAACATTGTGTTTGGATCATACATAGAATGGCACTCACACATCAAACATTGTGTTTGATAATGCAGAGAATGGCACTCACACACCAAACATTGTGTTGGATAATACAGAGAATGGCCCTCAAGCACCAAAGATCGTGTTCGATCATACAGAGAACGGTGCTCACACCAAACATTGTGTTGGATCATACATAAAATGGCACTCACACAGAAAACATTGTGTTTGGATCATACATAGAATGGCAATTACACATCAAACATTGTGTTGGATAATGCAGAGAATGGCACTCACACACCAAACATTGTGTTGGATAATACAGAGAATGGCCCTCAAGCACCAAAGATCGTGTTGGATCATACAGAGAATGGTGCTCACACCAAACATTGTGTTGGATCATACATAAAATGGCACTCAGACACCAAACATTGTGTTGGATAATACATAGAATGGTACTCACACGCCAAACATTGTGTTGGATAATACAGAGAATTGCACTCACTCACCAAACATTGTGTTGTATCATACATAGAATAATACTCTGACACGAAACATTGTGTTGGATCATACAGAGAATGGTACTCACACACCAAACATTGTGTTGGATAATACAGAGAATGGCACTCACACACCAAACATGGTGTTGGATCATACAGAGAATGGTACTCACACACCAAACATTGTGTTGGATAATACAGAGAATGGCACTCACACACCAAACATTGTGTTGGATAATACAGAGAATGGCACTCACTCACCAAACATTGTGTTGTATCATACAAAGAATGGCACTCACACACCAAACATTGTGTTGGATCATACATAGAATGGTACTCAGACACCAAACATTGTGTTGGATCATACATAGAATGGCACTCAGACAACAAACATTGTGTTGGATCATACAGAGAATGGTACTCACACGCCAAACATTGTGTTGGATAATACAGAGAATGGCACTCTACACACACAAAACATTGTGTTGGATAATACAGAGAATTGCACTCACTCACCAAACATTGTGTTGTATCATACAAAGAATAGCACTCACACACCAAACATTGTGTTGGATCATACATAGAATGGCACTCAGACACCAAACATTGTGTTGGATCATACAGAGAATGGTACTCACACGCCAAAACATTGTGTTGATAATACAGAGAATGGTACTCACACACCATTAAAATTGTGTTGGATAATACAGAGAATTGCACTCACTCACCAAACATTGTGTTGGATCATACAAAGAATGGCACTCACACACCAAACATTGTGTTGGATGACGCAAAGAGTGGTACCCACACACCAAACGACACGAAGATCACACAGAGAGGGGTACTAAATACCAAATGTCATGCTGACATATACCCTGACTTGATAACGTTTAATACATACATGATCATGATAGTCTGGGCCATGCATAAGACTCTGTCTTTTGATGACAACATGGGCTGCCATGTTTCAGTTTCAACATGTGCTCCTAGCCCCGCAGCCGTATAGCAGAATACTGCTCAGAGAGCCGATAAGTAATACACAAACAGAAAACAATCCACACAAATGATATAGACTCCTTAGCACCAGTCTAACACCAATACCACGTGACAATATCTCTTGGTATGAGGCAAAGTTCTTGGGAATGCAACACCCAACTTCCGTTCCCAGGGCAGAAGCAGTGCCAGCTGAAACACGGAAGTGTTATCAGCCCGGAGTCACACTGAACATCCACACATCAAAGAGAGAACGTCCAAAGTTATCCACCCAAATGGGTACACCC